TTTATTAGCAATGTAATGATTATTGCAAGCAACCAATATTTAGCCATGACGATGCTCAATCAATATTATGAATAGTTAAGTTAATTGAGCACGAATTTACATAACTTTACTTCTAAGCTACTATTGGCAGTTACTTCAATTCGGGTATGGATTTTACCAATTTTTTTCAAGTATAAAACTATGTTTCACTTGTGGTCTATTCCTCGATATATAATCTGTTTCCTTCGATTTTCCTGCCATTCCTAAGCCGCCATTTGAGTGCATATGAGCGCTTATATCTTGAAACAAAAATTTGCAACTAAAATTAATAATCTTTAGTGTATACTGATTCAGATCACAGTGTACTCATTTTAATTTAATTTTTGTTTCCAATGGACTATCACCCACTTAATGTAGCTTTTCTGTTTTGTTAAAATTACTTTCTAACTAATGTTGAGTTTCTCCTTCATGACCTACAGATCTTAATGCACCACTTGCCAAATTGATTCTCTTATCTTCTCGCTGGCTTAATTTCTGTTAAAGTTCGATATTTTGGATGAATAATAGGTTTACATTTTTACCTAATTAGTATCAGGCTTTTTCAAGAAAGTTTTATCGAGACTGTAATACTTACTAAAGACGGCAGTTCAATCTTCAACAGCCCCTTCAAAAGCACAGCCTTCTCTAGAATATCTCCCTGTCATATAATCTAATAAATGCATACTGAGAAATTTCGTTTAATGCATGGCTTAACATGTTATCACTTATTGGGAAGAAAAGTTAAAGTACTTCTGGAAGAATATTATGCTCGAATACGTTAACTTTTCAGGTAATTATGAAAGCCTCTGTTTTCATAAAAAAGTATTCAATTAACTATATTGTAAATTACGAAGTTTACATGAAATATGAAGAAGTTAAACGATCCCGATCACGGGTAGAGAAAAGGGAGCTCTTTGTGCATTCAGTTAAATTAATTAAACCCAGTGAAATAAATTCAAACTTCCAATTTGTTCAGTATTAACTCCTTATACAAAGAAAAAGAATTGATCAAAATTTCCAATCATTTTTTCATATAGTCACTTTTAGTATTTTAACCCTGTATTGGTCTGAGAAACAATAAAAAGATTATTACGAGATTAGTGCAGTGCGCTTTTTATTTCTAGTCAATATGAGACGCGAAGAACATGAATTTCACTTACTCCAAAATAGTTCTTCTTTATCCCAATTACATTATCGGATGATAAGAATTATTCAACTCAGAATCAAACGCTTACAGCCCTATTATTAAGTTTGACTTGATATTGGTAATATATCGCAACTGTGCTAAAGGGGGTCTGAATCCTTAAATGTCAGGTATTTGGCATTTGTAGAGATAGGGTAGGCGTGACTCAGCACATATTTCAGATTAAACAGAGTAACGGCGTCATCTATCTATCAACTGTTTTTCTTCTTTGAAAGAGAATTAGTTAAATCTTTCGAATAGTAAATCGTCAAAGACAAAGCTAAATAGAATACTTGCTTCTGATGATAATGATAGTGATCGAAACAGTAATGACCAAAATAAAATGTTCTTATTTTCCTTCAAGTTTTGAATTTTTATTCCACAGGTAATTTGTAAGTTACTCAAATTTTATTCCACACCGACAACAGAAATCGCAGGTCTTGAATGTCATATCTCTTGAAAATTCAAAGATAAGAACCGGGAAAATCGAAATGAACTTTATCTCTTCCAATAAACTGCAACAAACGCAAAATGTTAACAACAACATTTTTTAATTAACCTTTAAATCAACGATTCATTCCCAACACAAGTAGTATTTTGAGAAAAAATGAATCAGTCTGAAAAAGATGCAATTTTCAATTACAAGATTTTCAATATTCTTTTAAAAAGATGCGAGTAGTAATAGACATTTACAATTTTCAGGTCAAATGTGTTGTTATACCCTCAATAAAAATGGAACTTGCAGAAATAAAACTTTCTTTCAATGAAAAATGGTTGAAATAAAGGAGACGGGATCCAGAATGCTAAATGAAGTTGCCTAAGTTGCTCTTCGAGTTGATCTAATGTGCGCAATTAAAATAATCACTAAATTAAAATTAGATGCATGGTTAAACATTTATGTCCAAAGCATAATAACCGGATTCATAGTTGACCGACATTGAGCGATCTAGTAGTAAAAAATTTAGGAGATAAAACTTGACGTCTGATGCGAGAGCAACTGTTGAAAATAACGGCATTATGCTTGACTATGGAATCAGATATGTAGAAAAATATGAGCTTGATAAATTGGAGATTTGCACTTATAGCAAATATTGAACTTATACATGCATCCCAAACAAAAGTTAAAGTGTCAGAACCTTGTGTTACTTTGAAAATATTTCTTAAATAAAAAATCTATGCCTTATTTAATAAAACAGTAAGAAAAGTAAATATATTTATGGTTCAATTTGTGTTGGTTATTATAAAAGTGTAATTTTCTTAGCATGCAAACTGGGTAATGTACTTGTAGTAATTTGCAGGTGATACAGAGGAATAGTTCTCTAAAGCTCAAAATGGAAGCATTACAAAGTCATTTGAATTCTTTAAATTCGAATAACTTATTACAATATTAGAGGAAACAATCTTTGAAAGGATAAATTTGAAATTGCAGATTAAGAGAAGTAAAATCTAAAAATTTATACTGACAACTTTAAAGCATAGATTTAATGACCAAATTCTTAATCTAGGAACGTATTATGGGAAAAATCTTGTAAATCGTTTCTTGTGACATGCTGAAAACGTCGGAATTGATATCAGTTTCAAGATTTCAAATACTTTAACTTGCTTTTGTTCTTAAATATAACCTTTTAAATTCATAATTCTTCTGCTCATAAAGGACCTTTAGTAAAAACTTTCACTTTAATAGTACTAGGGTTGATGTTATTGGGTAGCACGCTTGTGATGCTTTTTATTGTGTTGGAAACAATCATATATTATAGATAATAATCTAGACAGTATATTATTACTCAGTCCAGGATTTTGGAAACTAACTCTTTGTCAGCCCAACAGGGATTTCAGTCACAGTTAGTTTCTCCAAAATCCATCAATAGACAATGTAAACAGATAATGCTTATTCAATATATTCGGTTAAATAACTAAACAGAATAAAAAAGCAAATGGTCGTATATGCTTATTGGAACAATTGAAAATAACAGTAATTCATAAATACTTAGTTACTTTAGCGATCTTTAAATTTATCTTCAGTTTAAATCAAGCGGATAATATTTCATTAAATAACAGATATAAAATGTGTTCAAGTAGAATCGATATCACTATTTACTACGTTAAATTACAGTTAATTAAAATTGAATAATTTTATTACGCATCAGAAAGACCTATTTATTAAAATGGTTTAGTTTATACCTTTCGTTTGCAGTAATTTCTGTTGATAGCGGTCTTTGCAATAAGGTGTCATCTTTATAATGCGTGTTGTCGAATTTGGATGGTTTCATATTCATAAGTAGGTCTTAGTAGAAGAAAGCTAAAGGGTGTATAAAAGAATATATCGTTACTTTTCAAGATATTTCCTTAATTTAAATTAGTCATTTTCTTATTTTTTATGCATGTGTCAGTGAGTATTTCCCAGTGCTAAGCTGTGTTTGTATTTTTGTGTATCTGTTTTAGTTCTTCTAACTGTTTTCATTTATGTCTAGGCAATAGTGGAATGCGCGTTGATATAATCAATTCACTTTGATAAAATTATTTTTTCTATCTCAAACAAATGCCTCCAAACAGGTGTTTAGTCGTTCTCTCTGTAATTTCAGGCAAGTGATATTTTTTTTAAAATTTTGACGAATTGGTAAATACATACTAAGTTATATATTATAACAGGAAGGAATTTTGTTGATAAACCTTCGAAAAATATTATTGTTGAAGCGAAATTGGATAGGGAAGTTCTCTCAACCGATCCGGTCACTCATTGTCCTAATCCAATTTTTGAGCAAGAACTCGCCTGGGAAGTTGATCGACTGTGTTTGAGACAATATCGACTTCAGAGAGCTTCGATAAAGCTCCAAATTTTCTCTGTACAAGGTGCTGATTCTCCCTCTTCACGAGAAAATCTTGGCTACGTTATTCTAGATATTCGTTCAGCTACTGAAAGCAAAACTTTCAAATGGTTCCCTGTACTGAGCTCCAAATTCCGGCCATCTCCTGAAATATTCTGCAGTCTCTATATTGACCCCTGTAGTACTGGAACTAATGATACACCTAAAGATTTATGCTTAACCCCTCTGTCTGTCCATCGTTTTGTTGAAAATTTTGAAAATCAAATCGTCGATGGTTTTCAACTTGCTGAATCGGAGTTCTTTCCGCTATCTACTCAAGAGTGCTATCTTATCACGATTGTTCTAGTCTCTATCCCACAAATATCTCAATTGCTTCCCAAAGATTTTTCACCCCCGTCAAAGTTCAAGTTATCGCTACGTTTTCTTGAAAATGATCTCTATTGTTGGGAATTCTCTGATGGAGATTTTAACAAACTAGCGTCTCGTCAATGTAAATTTTTAATCCGCTCCTCTATGGACGCCATTAAGGGATGCTTTCTTCAGCCTAATCTACTCGAAATAGGTCTATTTTCTGATGACAAGCATATTGGTTATTGTCATGGAAACCTACCTCTTATTAGTGATCAGATTAATCCCAATACTCAATATCCTTTTTGTGTTGATTCTACGTTTACTGTAAGTTGAAATAATGGGGATCTTTTATAGTTTCTTTTCTTGTAGTTAAATTCACAAAATGGTGATGGAGATTGTCCTGTTATTTTACGATTCAATGTTTCCAAATGTGATAATCAGCAAGTTATCAATTCTCCAACTCCCAGTGATAATAACGTGAGTTTCTCTTTTATTTTATTTGGTGCTTGTTATTTTATGAAAATGTAAATGTATTACTTTTTCTTTCAATTTACCTGAAATAGGGAAATATTTATTTATTTATATCAAATGGCATGCATTTTGATAGTTATCATTAGCCCTGTAGTTGACTTCAGGCTTCACAGAGGGGAATGAACATCAACGTGAAAAAAAGTCGAGAGGGGGTGGGAATAGAAGAGTGTTTCAAAGATGTAAAAGACGGTAGAAAAAAGGTGAGATGAGTACTATGGAAGTAGTCGAATATGACGTAGAGTGGGGTGATGGTATTTTGAAGTCAGAAGCCAACAGCCAGTTAATAGACTCTTTTGTCGTATGAGTACACGTTGCCCAGGGTGCACCACGTGGAGGTAAGTCTATCGCACACCCCAATAGGGAAATATTATATAGCGTAATTCATCACGGAAGTTTAACAATTTTACCCATTTCCTTCATGAACGTGTAATAACTCACGGAAAATTACAATTGTTATTAGTTTTATCGATAGATCCGAGTTGATGATATTTAATAGGAAGATAGAGATCAGTAAAAAGTGCAATTTAGACACCAAGATTGCATAGCTTCTAAAGTGTCATTCAAAGACTAGGAGAAGAAAGCAAAATGTTAAGGTTTCATCGTTGTTGCTATTACCCTCCTCACCCTTTTCCCACATCGATGCGAGATATTCTAGAGCATTTGGGCTGGTTGGACCAATTTTTTGCATGTTAGATTTGTCAAAGGCTGGCGTACACCTTGGACAATTGCGCCACTCCCATTGACAACAAAAAGGACCAATACTACTACTTTAAACTGCTAATAGACTTACAGCTATGCCTCTGGTTAGCTGGCCATTTTAATCCCCATTTCTGGCTTCTTATTAGCACGTAATAGCAAAGCCAGTTAACCGAGTGACAGTCTGATGAACTGTCTTTGGAATACAAGATTTATCCTTCAACATATGTTTAATTTTGAGTTCAAAATCAAGAATATTTTTTTGTCATTTTGACATTCCAAGGCTGTCTAACATAAAGTGTATAATCCTAACTTAATGCTGCATTTTACTCGCTTCAAAATGTATTTACTTTCAGAAACAGCATCTCTACAACTGTTATCAATACAAATTTGTTAGTACGATAGTTGATCTTTCTACCACTTTAGACTAGTAGCCCTCATCTGAACATGGAATCAGCTCTTACTCAGATGCAGAGAAATGAGCAACCAGCGTCTCAGGTGTTACCATCGCAACGGCCTAACGCCTCCCTAATGCCCACAAACTACCCCAATGAAGAAATTGGAAAATTGCGTCGATTCTGCTATGTGATTGAGCTTAAGACCATTCAGGCTTTTGGTGATACACCCCTCCCAAAAGATATCTTCGTTTATGCTAAGTCCGTTCTTGTCACACACACACTGCTGCTACAGTCGTTTAAGTCTTTCCTAATCTCTCTTTTCTGACCTTTTCAAGGTATGTCTATCCTCTTTTTGGTACTACAAATCCGATAATGACCCTACCACCAGTCCGTCTGTGTGCAACCGAGGAAAAGCACTTCTCTCAAGGTTATTGTGCTTTCGAACTGGCGGCAGATTTCACTGAAGTGAGTTGGATCTATGAGAAACTACTAACGCGAGTTGGTTGTCGTCGTCAATGTCATAGTGTTTATTTTGTTGCGAATTTTTTATTTGCGTGGGTATTGCACTAATGTATCTAAAAAGCTAATAAATAACCCACTGGGACATTAAAGGTACACAAATTATATACATCTAGTGGAAATGAGGTTGTTTTAAGAAAGTTCTACATTCATGTGGTTTATTTTCGTTGCTACTGTGGTATTTGATAATTTGGGTAATTTACGCGTTTGCACCATAATAACTTTTCCCCAAAAGAATGAGTTGGATATATGTAAATTTTGACTATGATATTATCGAAAATCAATTTTTTTAAATATACCCTCTGTTCTAATATTTTAAGGGATATTTTTTCTCAGCATTATATCTTTCAATTGTTTTTGTCTTTTACTCAAAGTTTGAAGTTATAATGTATTCAGTCGGTCCAAAATACACATTATTGCAATAAGATTTAGTGCCATGCTTACCTCTTCGTTCCTGATTGGTGTAGTAGTAAGTATATGCCCAAAGTTGAGAACATAAGCCGTTTGGTGTGTCCACTCAATATCCTGTTGAATTACCTCCAAAATGATGCGTACGTGAGCTAATACGCAAAAGCCTGATAATTTAATCCTAAAATTTCCACAATTAGATCGCGATGCTATGAAAAGTGATAGAGTAATTCACAAAGGCCCTTTCGATGGCTCTACCTTTATTCCTTTTTTACAATTTCTTTATTCTTTTAGTTTTTTGGTGCTTTATTTAACATGTCTCCTTTCGTTTGGAAATTTACTTTACTTTGTTACTTTTACAAAGCATATATATGATTAATTCATTCCACAGCAGAAATTCATCTAAATTGAAGCGTTAAGTTTCATGATGCAGTGCATATAGCACTTAGATAAATTTAAGGAATATTAAAAGGCGGTGGAAGGGGTTACCACGTGCTTCTCCTAATTACCGTGAACCAAATCCCCATACTCTTCCCACAATTTAACCACTGAACTATTAATCCGCTCCTCTGAATAGCATATTACATAAAAAGTGCCTCGCATAAACGCTTGTCATTATCATTACTAAACTTTAATTAATAATTTAGGTCCTTTGAATTTTCTCTATTGAATTAGTAGTGGTTAAAAGCCCACTAAAAAGGCATCTTTATTATTTAGAGTGTTGATCAATTTTCGCGCTATTTTGTGAGAGTAGTTTGCCACGCTTTCATTTCTCAGTACTTCCTCAAATTTTCCTATTTTTACTGTATGTTCATGTATTCTAAGTGTTAATCTTTGACTTGTATTTGCTAGAAATGAAAAAAGGACCAAATACCTCTTTCGGAGGACGGTTTTTAAAAGTCTGTTTTTAATTTCCTAGCAGTCCTTTCCTTATTGCTATTATTGTTGTTATTCGCATCAAAGGTGGGCTGGACATTTATTGGAGTGATGCCGGTGAAATTTGAAGGTTTCTGGTGGGAAATAGGTACATTTTAACTCGAACAGTTGGTCTGATACTCTCTGTCCTTTTCTTAAGTCATATAAATATTCGGGCATACTGATGGCTAAAATGTCTACTTAAGTACGGCTCTTCCATTGGCGAAGTTTTTTGCTCCGGTGTATCTTTCCAAAGTATTAGCTCTGACTTGTTTAGTCGCAGAAAATGGAACACGTTTATTAGATTAAGCGGTCGTATCCCTATCATATTTGCAGTAAATTAGAAATTATTAAGATTGTAAGTTATATTTGTTCCTAATTTTCAAAACGCTCTTGCTTGATTCAACAAAATATTAGTGATGTTATTGGGTTAAGTGGTTATTTCCTTTCTAAATAATATATACTAAGGAGGGTTTCAGTCTTGATAGTAAAGTCATTGAGAATGCTCAGTTCTCAATATCAGTATTGTTATCGCTATTTGCCCATTGATTCAATAGTAATATTACTGTTCCAAAATCTATCTTCTCCTCATCACTCCATTATGCATTACCTGAGTATTCCCCTCCAGAAAACATGCTCTTTGAGGTTTGGCGGTTCTTTCACTGACGCTGAAATTTAGAATTAGGCATTATTGCTTTTAGACCTCTCTTTCTCCCCCCGCTACATTTGGTACACCGGTCTTGTGTGATTGCTTCTGGCAATCGATGGTTGTCAGTAATATCACGAGTCTTGAAATCTACTTACTCTGTTCCTTCTTTCCTTTCTATATATATTTTTATTATTCTTTATTATACCACCTCTAACATTTTCAATTACAACCCACTACTCGATTATGAATTACTAATTTTCTGATACTCAGGTCTTATGGTTTGCAGTTGTCCTCTCTGGTTCCGTCTTGGCTCTGTTGTACGCTATCTGAATTTTCTGGCCTAACTTATTAGTTGTAGGGTGGGGGGTAATATCGCTTGCTTGTTGCTGACATTCAGAGTGTGCATACGTGCATGCATGTTGATGCGGCGTGCTTGACCTCTTGGCAGAAGTTCTCGTCTCGGTGATCTACTTGGTGGAGAGCCTCTTGATGTTTGCACATGTCTGTGCACATATGGGCCTGTTTGTCTTTCCTCTCCACGTGTGGCGTGCTTTTTCATTCTACCCACTCAACATTATGTGCTATTGGAGAAAATTGATTTAACTTAATTTTAGGGTATTGACTCTTTCCTTAATCATGTGTAAGTTCATTCTACTTAGCGAATCGCTGTCACAGTAGATATCATGGTCGTGTGCGTTGTTAGTTGTCACAGATGTGATGCCCATCGGGGATACCAAAAAACCGAAACTTGTCAATCTCATTGGCTATTTCGAGCTGATAAAAGTGTGGCAGTGTCTGTGATTCTCACCAGCGAAATTCCATGATGTTATTACTACACCTAGGAATGGGTATTAGAAATGGATTTCTTGAATGACCTTCGAAGCTTTTTCATCAGTAATGATATCTTATTGTACTCCCTTAAAGAGAGGTATTTTCAACGTTTGTAGCGCATAGATTGAGCTTTTCTAGTGAGGACGTTGTATTCTGCTACTCAACTCTTGATCATTATTTAGCATCACTATAGTTGATGAGTACTTAACTTTAAAAATCCATAATATGAGGAAGCTGGAAATTCAGAAACTAAAATTTGCTTTGCACGTTTGAGAATGGCTTTCATTTGTTGAGTTGGAACAACTTGCTAACTCATTGATTTTCCCAGCTTTGCAAATGTCACTACCGTAAGCCTGGAAGGAAGTAGGCTGGTGGTTATATAACCGACAAAAGAGTTGTCAAGTTGCCAATTTCGTTATTATTAAACTGAAGGTAACATGATCATCTAGCAACGCGAAGTTCCCTATGCAAGAATATCCTTAAAAAAACTTACAGGATGTTAAATTTGGCTTTTAAGGCAGAAAATTAGATAAAAATTGTGATCGAAGTGAAATATCAGTTAATTGTGGGTTGAAGAGAAG